TTAGACCCAGGCTAGCCTACGAGCAAGCTCTCCATTACTGGCTTAAACTTGGTCTGTTCCAGGCGTTCAGATTGTTGGGAAGGCGCTAACACTGAGATGTGAATGTTTTATCGCTCTCTGAGTTCGCAAAATATTGAAGGATGATAGAGTCAAAACGTCTCTAATCTGGCTTTAGATGATAAGTGATTTTCCGAATTCTTTCCTTACTCCTGGCCTTTTCCTGTGTTTCTTTCTGTTATGTTTTTACGATTGCCGGATCTTTATGAATTTGAAGGTTCACCATCAGAGAAACATGCTGAAGCATCTTTCAGTACAATCGCTTCATTAGCATCGGCACATACACACGATTTTGTATATGCCGCTCTGAATTTCCGCGGTCTCATACTTGTAATGCACATTTTCTGTTCGATCGTGTGACTATCGTGACAGGCATTTAGTATGCGCATATTGACAAATATAATCACGCAGACAAAGTGCTCATTTCCACTCGAGTGAAGAACGATAGTGTGTGCCTTTTGCGCAAACTAAACTTCGGCGACTTTCTACCTGGTCCCTCCTTCACGAATATGTCTGCAGTAAAGAACTGGCAAACCACAAGACCCACCATCAGCGAAAGAGCCAAGTTTTTGCTCAACAACAATCACTTGAGTGATGCTAAGTTTGTTGCGCTGCAACGTGGCGGCGAAAACGAAAGTAAGAAAGCGATTCCAGCTCACAAGTTTATTCTGGCGATTAGCAGTCCAGTGTTTGAAGCAATGTTTTTCGGTGAACTGGCAGAGACTAAAGAGACTATTGAACTGCCTGACTGTGAGTATGGGAGTCTGTTGGAGTTGTTTCGCTATATGTACAGCGATGAAGTGAACTTAAGCGGACGTAATGTGATGGGAGTGCTGTACTTGGCTAAGAAATATCAGGTCTCTTCACTCTTTGATAAATGCACGGAATATTTGCAACTTAACTTAGATCCGTCGAATGTCCTTAGCATCCTACTCACTGCACAAAGATATGAAGAGAAAGATCTCATTGATCGATGCTGGGAAGTGATCGACAGTGGGGCAGAATTTGCTGTGAAATCCGATGGATTTGAGACGATTGAGAGGTCTTTACTTGAATCAGTGGTTGCACGTGCAAGAAATACTCTTGCCATTGAGGAGGTCGAATTATTCAAAGCTATTGATACGTGGGCAGCGAAGCAGTGCCAAAAACAAGGTTTCGGAGTAAGTGGTAAAATGAAAAGAAAGGTTCTAGGAGAACAAATAGTCACAGCAATACGCTTTCCATTGATGAAACATAATGAATTTGCCACTGTCGTCCTTGATACAAATATTCTTACCTGTGATGAAATAGTCACCTTTTTTAAGTTTTACAGTTCGACGTTGACTTCTCCTCTGGGATTTCCAGAGACCCCAAGAATCAAACAAGCCGCCTTTCCTCGTTGTGGCAGATTTCAATCAGTGTCAGAGGAATTTTTCACTTATAGGGGTGATAAACATTATCTTTGTTTCAAAGTAGACAAAGATGTCATGTTACATGGATTACGTTTGTTGGGGAGTGAAAACAATAAATACACAGTTAATTTGGAGGTAAGGGATTGCAGCACATACCATTGGACGGTGATGGTGTCCAAAAGTGGTATATTTACCGCAAAGGTGTTTCAATACACAATTTTTCCCATACATGGGTTTGATGTTTTGTTTGACCCTCCTGCGCAGTTAAAGAAAGGGACGCGCTACAGACTTAGTGCAAAGATTTCTGGTCCACCGTCTTTGGAAGGAACTGGTGGGCTAGACACTGTCCGGTCATCCGGTGTAACATTTAAATTTTCTAGTGTTAATTTTAAGGATAACGGAACTGATATTTCAACTGGCCAGTTTCTAGAATTTATATTTTGTGAAGTCAGGTATTAACAGATGAGGAATGCTGGACGTGATACCGTTAAAAACGTCTTTTTGTGGCCCTGGCATCTTGCCAAGATGTAGTAAATTCAAAAAGTTAATTGCTTGAAGTGTTAGATCAATGAGCAGACTTACAATCGGATGGATTAAAATTGACAAATAACATAATAGAAAGATGAACGGTGACAATCAAAGGAGAGTCTCGGCGAGATTGGATAACAATTGAGACTCATAACTCGGTCGTTATTACTCAAAGCACTTGGTATTCTTTGCCGTCATCGCACGGCTATTTTAATTAAGGGAGCTTTAAACAACGACGACGGCAACATAGCAGCAGGGGGAGATCTAGGGGAGGGTGCGCCCCCCCCTTCCCCTAGAGACGATCTGCGGCTTTCTAACTACAGTTATACTAAATCTGCTGTATCGTTTGATATGTATTCTCTGCGGTTCACATTATGTTATTGCGTAGTCAAAATGAATGAATGAATAATAACTTTATTTATACACGGTTAAAAACATCAGTCTAACGTAGAAAATTAATTAAAAATTCTCAAAAACTGTTTTACATATTTGCCGTGTGGGAGTACTGATCAGAAAACCACCTA